AATATTCAACATGTGATATACCTCCCATAAAGTAAAAGTATTAATTAATTGTCTATTAGAAGAGAATTTGACTCAGTTTTACCTCTAGCATATAATGTTTGGCACCAATCAGATGATTTTAAGGGTATCAGACTTCTCTCGAGAAAAGTCATGGCATGAGCTATTCCTAAGCACTTCTACCACTATTAGTTCTATATAAGAAGGCACTTGCTTTTCTTGGTTTTAAAACTTATTCTAGCAGTAGAAGATCAGTACATTGGGCTAGTGTGCCCAAACGTACTGTAAAGGCCCGAGGCAAGGCTCCTGTGAGAAAGGTAGAAGCTGCAAAAGGAAAAGATCACAGCAGGAGCACTAATAAGCACTCACTGAAGTTTCGTATTTATGTCAGAAATTCTGAATTAACAAGAGTCATCCAAACATACACAGGTTTGCTGAGCTTATTCCTTCCATAAAAATTGCGCACTAGTATATTCTAAAACACGTGTCTAAACATGTTTTCATGGCGTTCCTGCCCCAAACAAAGTTAGTAGTTTTATTGCTAAGCACTTTCCTTCTTTTTTAAGGTGATAAGCTTATTTACCTCCTAAATAGGAATGATTCTTGCAGCCCATTTTCAGATCTTTTGAGGCATTAAACCCCAATACTTCCCTGGCCTCAAGATTCAGATAGGTCTCTAGCAGTGGCAGAAGGAGGCAAGAGATGCCCTCCCTGGGCACATGCTGGATGACCTTGCCTTCCCATTACCATCCTTCAGATAAGGTTAAATGGAATTCCCCTCTATCAAGACAAGTGTTTACATGTGAACCCTGTAGAGGTCAGGCTCTGGGAATTAATACGCGCTAGACTGCATTCCTTTATCACCATCCGTCCGGCCGGCAACGTTACCCTTCAGCTCCCCGTAGTGGACAAAGGGGAAATTTTTCTTGATGGATTTTAAAATACGTATTTTTTTCTCAGTGTATGAATGCTATACATCCTCAGGATTTTTATCACATCTCACAGGAAGTTTATCTAAACAGTGGTGGACTTACGGCCCTAAGGATTTCGGTATACTAAAACCAAAAAAAAGTCTCATTCGGACATTACATATTTTAGCTCGAGAGTTCATGGCATGACAAAAAATAATTTCCATTGCCAGAATGGGCTCATGTGTATATTCACTTTTCTCATATATGGACTGCTTTCTTTTTGTGAAATTCTCATTTTTGTCTCTAGGTTGTACGTTAATTTGCGGACTTTTCAGATGCTGAGAAAACAATGATTATTTAATAAATAAGGCTTCAACATTGTAAGAAGTCCTTCAGTCCTGCAGTCCTTCAGGACTGCAAGTCCTTCAGTTACACAATTAAAGGGATGCTCAGTGTATTCTAGGACTTAGAGCTGCTCCCATGAAGTACCAATCAATCAGGTTAACTTCTGAAAAAAATGAAGCTCACCTTTTTGATGTCTAGATCTCCCTATTACCACTGTACAGGTCAGGTCTTCTTCACAACCATACAAGAGAGATCTTCAGGAGACCTCAACAGATCATCCTCTACGCCTGAAAGGAAGTTCAATATATCTAAATCATTTCTGAGATACATTCATCTCACCATTTCTAAAAATTCTTCAATAAGGAGCCAATAGCCATTTAGGAAATCTTGCTTAATATCTTACCTAAGTCTCCCATGATTGGGTTTCTTCTCACTCCCCTGACTTGATCCCCAGTACTTCTGGAGAAAAATAAATACCATTCCCTTCTGGGGAAGCCTCTAACATATACAATCATTAGCTTCAAGACACGTCACCATTTTTTCTATTCTGGAGTACACAACTCCAGTTCTTTCAGTTGTTCTTCGTAGGTCAAGTTCTCTAGACTTCTGATAGTTCTTCACATTATCCAGAGAGCTCTGATTGAAAGGAGGTGTCCAAAACTGTTCTTCAGCAAAAGCCTTTTGGAGCTCTACTGTAGAGCGTAGAATTACTTTGCTGTCTTGTGTTTGGCAGTCGTCTTCTGCTTTTCAGTAGAGCTGTCACATTTTTTACAACAGCAAAACACTATTGACGCATTTTCTATTTGTGGACTGCTGTGACCCAAGGCGACTTCTTGTAGAGCGACTGCTTAGCCAGTTTGTCTCCAACTTACATTTTTGTAGTCAATTATTCCCAGCTATTCATAACACTGTTTCTCACCGTATTGAATTATAACCTATTTGCTTCAGATCTTTGTTTCAACTCATTATGATTTGTTCAATTCTAATTGTGTTTCAAAATGCTTGCAGCTCTCCCCTGAACAGGATATCCTCCACAAATATAATAAAAATATTCTCTATCCTCGTCCATTAAAAAATTGTAATTAAGGAGTACAGGATTCAGAACAGAAGTGTCTGGAGGCCTCACTTGCTACAACCATCTGATTTGATTGTGAATCAAACTTTTTGATATTGATTTTGATTTGATATGGTCTGGCCTATAATTCCCATTCTTTTTTTTTTTTCCTAATACCTATTCTCTTTTTTCTTGTTTCCTTTTGCCTGATCTCATGGAACCTCAGCTATCTATTATGAGTTCTTGCAAGTGATTGCTAGTAGCTTCGAGATTGCTTAGACATTTAAATATGTAGGGTGAAATGTATCTGGCGCAGGAGTTTTGGAAGTATCTTATTTGAGTTTATTTTTGAGCTGTTTCTTTCCTTAGTTTAGCTTGAACATTTGTTTTTATGTTGCTAATGTTAATTGTGTAAGTCAGCTGATTACAGTTGACATTTGTGAGAGGAACAAAGCAACAAAATTAATTAAGGGCTTTGGCCTTCCTCACGTCACTCGCAATGGCTTTCTCAGCCACTTGAGAGCAGATCAGTTCTTTCAGATCACCTTTTATATAAGCTTTTCGTTGTTATGCTCTACAGCTCTTTGATAGTTTTAGCTCATTTTGTATGTTAGCCTTTTGGGATGTTTCCCTTCATACTACAACATTAAGACCTTCTGTAGTTGGTCTTCGTTTAACCTAGCTTCTGCTTTTGTGTATCTCTTTCAAGCGGTACAAGCCACTGCAATGGTTTAGATTTAGCCATCTCTTCTCTTGCTGGCTTCTTCTCATGGGGATAGTCTGTTTTGCAGCCTTAGTATCGATTCTTTTGGAAACTGCTAACTTTCCTGAGTGTAATTTTCCTTAGATTTGCTGCTGTGAGGTTTTGCACACCAACTCTTGAGTTCATGGTAGTTAACCTCTCTCACTTTTGCCAGTGCCTATGCTTTGGATGAATTTATTCAAATAAAGCACCACGCACTTGATCCTCTTGGTCTGCTGGTCACTGACGGGTCTCTACTGTGACACCGGTCTTTTCCCTTCCTTCTTCTTATCGTTATCCAAGCCCTTGCAGTAGCTCTATGGCTCACTGTGTTCCTTTTCTCCTACCTACGCTTCCTGAGCAGACCGTACTTGCCCGTAACAATAACCAGTTATGACAATTAGCTCATAATTTGTATTATGAAATATGACTTTCAGTCCCTTCTATTATCTATATTTCTACATAAATCTGCAGCACCTGAGTTCAATGGCAGACAAACTTTTTGTTTCATGCTGTTCCTCTGATAATGCTAATACCCCTTATAATCTTTCACCTCCTCTCC